ATATCCATTTACACAATCTTCCATTTACACAAAAAACTATTTACTGAAGTAAGTGTGATTGGGCAATATTTATAAAAATAGGCATAAAACTTAAGGCTTCATAATACTCGATTCATTTGGACCAAAAGCAAACAAATATATATTTTTGATTATTTGTGTAGTTTTTTTTTTCGAAATAAATATACTTTTGACAATGTTGAAGTTGTCATTTAAAAAGTTTATACAATTAAATCTATAAAACTAGAGATTTCTTCTTTTGACACATTAAAATATGTGGTTAAGAAATAACTACATTTACTTTTTCCAATAGCATTGGTCCAACCTGGTCATTATAATAATTCTCATTGTTTAGCCTCGTATAAGTCTAAAATCTAATTCATAATGGTCCTAAAAGTCTTAAATGTGATTTGATGAAACCTGCAGAAATACTGTGATATGTACACAATGTTAAAGCACTATGTTTATATGTTGTGTTGTTAGCTACTGTATGTTGATTAGTGAATGTATGAATGTATGTTTTGACTATTTAAATAAATAAAAAGGGGGAAAATGTAAGTGGTCTATATAGATTTTTTTCTGAGATTTTTCAAGATATGGGTCCTTCATTATTATGTTTTCCCATTTTTACATATTCTCATGCCAAACATCAGGGTAGAGCTGCCTGATTTTACCTTCTTAAAAATGTCAGCTGTGAAGCAGTTTTAAAGCAGAATTGTTTGTTGTGTAAAACAGGCCCTGACCAACATAACACAACAGGGTCAAATAGCACTGGTTTCAGAGATTTATTTTCTTAAAGAGACAGAGCACACTCTGAAGAAATTTGCACATTTTTTTTTACACAGCAATGGGCTTAGCTTACATTACAGTGAACCACTACACCACCATATGGGAGGCAAAGCCAAACAAACGAGGAGAAAAAAACAACAACGCAGCTACATGTAGTGTTCTTGTGCAAAATGTAACAAAATATAAATATAAGTAAGCATATGACACCACTAGAAATCCCCACAAATTATTGACCTTTCACAAATATGGCATGAAATGTAAAACATCTCAAGGGCAAGAAGGAGGACTTGGTCAGTTTTGTTTGTTCTCTGCAATACAGCACCATAAACAGCAGGGGAAGCCCTACTTTCACTTTTAGTTTGTTTAGGGAAAATTTGGATTTAAGATTTAGTGAAAAGTAAATGTCTTTTTTGGGAGAATAGACCTCATTAAAGCTGCTGTAAGTATTTTATATGTCTCAAAATGTTGAAGTAATTTTGTTTTTTCCAAACAGGCCCCAGTTTTAAATACTAGTTCAAGTTTGATTTACACATTTTGTACCTACACATATGTTAAAGCATTTAATAAGTGGCTATAATAATAATTTGTATTATTTCTGTCATATGTGTCATATTTTTAGGGCTTTGTTGTTGTATGTTTTATTACTAGATATTTTTGCATTGTTGGTAAACTAATTGCCAGCGGAGAAATTAAAATGGTCGTGCCCAACTGAGTCTGGTTCCCTCAAGGTTTTTTTTTCTTCACTCCCATCAGGTGAAGTTTTTTTTCCCTCTCCGCTGTCGCCACTGCCTCGCATGGTTCAGGATTGGTAGAGCTACGCATCGATGAATTGGCTCTTCAGTGTTTGAACTCTCAGTAATGATTAAATCACACTGAACTCAGCTAAACTGAACTGAACTTAAACACTAAAACCTGAACCACACTGTTCCAGTTACTATGACCATTTATGTGAAGCTGCTTTGACACAATCTACATTGTAAAAGCGCTATACAAATAAAGCTGAATTGAATTGAATTAATTCAATCTTTTTTTAGCTTGGGTTTCATGTATATATTAGTAACTTGAGTGTGGATAATATAATAGCCATCAGTAGATAGTAATTCAAGTATAAATACAAGTTTTTGTTCGTTTTGCAAATTAAGTGATATACATAGACTATTTATATCAAGGATGCAGGATGCACTGAATTTTCAGCTGCTAAAAATTGTTCAAAAGAAGGCTTTACTTTTCCACTGCCCAGCAGTGTTCAGCTTACTAGTTTCACTCTCCCTTTAGCTGTAATCACTGCATGGTGTAAAGCAGAATTTCACACTGAACGCAGAAAGCGCTACACTATGAAAGCAATTTGCTGCATCTGGAATTGCATACCTCCGTACTATGTAGTATAAGGCTGCACGATATAGGAAAAAAAATTACATTGCAATATTTACCATTTCTGCAATGTATATTGCGATATAAATATAATTTCACAATATGACCTCATTAACTGTTTGGAAACAATTCATAAATTTTATATTGATTGGGACAATTTTGTAGGATTTGCATAAAATCTCCAAAAATATTAAAACCTAAGTTAACACATTAGCACAGACAAAAGCAACAGAACAAAGAAAAAAATGAAATAAACAACTCGTATATATAAAAAAAAAAATTGTTCCAGGATCAACATAGATGTTAATCCAGGATCGCATCATACTTGGCAAAATCATGACGTGCTAAGTATTGCACACTCTACTGGCAGGCTTATTTAAAACAAAATACGCACAGCAGCTATGATTAGACCTATTTTATGTCTCCTTCCAATTTTCAGCATGTTTAGAAATCTGTAGGACAGCCATTTGAGAATAGTTTCCATAAACCACCCATTAACCTTTTGTCCTCTCTCTTCCGTTTGCTTTTGTAAAAAGGTCATTTATTTAAAACAACAAAATCTCGTCACAAATATATAATGGGTGAAAAAAAAGTTGCGATGACATTTGATTGGTGGCCTCTCAATCGCCCCTCTGCCTCTACTGACGTTCTCATCTGTAGGTCCACCCGGGGTGTTCCTTGCCCTGGGCTAAATCAACAAGCGCTAATCACGGATTGCGTTTATGCTTGTGTCAGCACATGGTTTCCATACTGACCAACAAATTAGTTTTTATCGGCAGCGATATTTTGCTTGGAGCATTATCTCATTGTTTGGGGGTATGCAGGGATGGGTCTTTTGCATGGCAAATAGTCATGCAAACAACAATCTCCTCTCTCAAACATGAAGAGAGGGAGACTCAGCATTCGGAGGCCTTAGGCACTTTTCAAAGGAAGAACAACATTTTGTAAGGCTTTTGTGAGTATATCCGCAATGTTTGAACTTGCGCGGAATGGTTGACATTTTTGGTTAACAGATGTGTACGAAGGTTAAGGTCACCGTCTGTATTATTAAAATGCCATTTGGGCTGTTTGAAAAGCACTTATTTTATTGTGATTCCAAAGTTACATGGCGTTTGCAGTCCTGTTTTTTAAGTGTTTAAACTTGCTTGGAATGTTTGACGTTTTTGGTCAACAGATGTTGTAGGTCAAATGGAGTTTGCAGTCCTTAGACAAAGTGCTGTCGAGACAAGGCGTTGTTGACAGATAAAGAGTTGTCTTGAATGGGTGCCACTTCCTGAGAGAAAAAACCCTGACTCTAGTTTAATTATTGTGGCCACTTGGGCATAGGGCTGGGTAAAGATATTGGTTTTCTAATGAATCTTCTTGGTCTTTATTGAAATAATTCAGATATCCATTCTTAATATCCCAAGATACAAATTTATCTTTTACTAATTGATTGCTTAATAAAGTTTTTGCCCTATAGAGTGGTGAAAACTTCACTCTTAACCCAAATAGTTGACTTTACTTGAAAATTAATTCACTTAAGTTTTTACAAAAGGTGAAACTAAACAGCTCTAGTTGAATTAACCAGCCCGATCTCTTGATCTCTCCGATCTCTCTTAATTATATCATGTATTATCAGAAAAGTGGCTAATTCGTACAAAGTCATACTATTTCATTTGGTCAAAAAAGTTAGATTTTTAAATGTCCCTTAAACCAACCCCAAACAAATCATTCTAAAATCTATGAATGAGATTGTACAAATTCATATGAATTATCCCTTAAAAAATCCATATCAAATTATCCAAATCAAAAAGTTATATTGTTGTGCGATTAAGTTAAAATTAATCCTTGTTCACTGCTCAAATTTACTACCCTTTTGTTATGTTAGGGACGAAAATATCCACTGAATTAAACTGCAGTAAAATGCATCAGATAATTATTAATAATATTATTATTATTATTATTATATTTTTCTTTTTTCTTGACAAGTTCACAAATTATATCACTGATTTGGTGAAAAAAAACACACAAAATGACATATTTTCTAAAAAAAAATAATTAATGGACTAGATTTATTTTACCTTTTATCACAGTTTTGTACATGCGAACGATTAGTAACAACATTGGCTTTGATGCATTGTTAGATTTTCAGTTTTTCTCCCCTATTTGCTGTTCAGGGCTGTTTTTACCCCACTGACTTTCATTGTAACTAGATTTGATAGTGCATAAATACACAGTTTTTGTTTTTATATACTCTATTTATATAATCATATTTAGATTTTCTCAGACACATCAAGGTAAGGGCGCAAAGTCATTCTCACACTTTTTGCTGCTATACTCCATATAAAACCCAGAAACTATGCTTTTTTGCACATACTAAAGGGTTAACGGTGCCAATTGATGAAAAAATTGTAAAAATTAAAAATTTTCAAAGATGATTCCTTGGATTTAAATTTTTTTAAGTTGGTTGTAAACAACTTATTTGGGCAGAATAAAAAAAAACAGATTAGGTTGAACATTACTAAATTTAATTTGATTGGATAAATTAAACACAAATACATTTTTTGCAACAATTTTGCAGACATCGTTTTTTCAGTGCAATAGAGCAAACCACCAACAATCAAAAATGCATGATTTTATGCTATCATGATTTTGTAATCAAAAAAATGTGGTTATGATGGAAGTCAATGGGGCAAAAACAACCTGAAACAGTAAATTAGGGAGAAATTTTTGAAAATTGCATCAAAAGCAATGTTGTTTCACATGTCCAAGACTTTAATAAAAGGTAAAAAAAAATTTAAAAATCCAGTCCACAACTACTTTTGTGTATTAAAAATACGGCAAGTTTTTTTTTTTTTTTTCCAAATCAGTGACATAATTTGAAATAAAAATTTCATTGGTGATTTGAAACGAGCAATATTCTGTGTAATCAAATAATTTGGTGTCATATTAAGTCAATCAAAGTCTTAACTGAATTGATAACCAGTAAATCAAAAAGAATTTTAGAAAGTATCAGTATCAATACCCAGACCTATTTGGACAGAAAAATGAATGTATTTATGGAATGTTGATATAAACAATTTCAAAATTAAAGCACAGCGTAAGACCATCCACCAAACGGGATCATTTCATTTGTTCTACCATAGGCACTCAGTATAAATCATGTATTTTAATACTACTTACATCTTAACTGGGTAAAAACGATAAAATTAGAATCCTGTGTATCCTGTGTATCTATAGATATCTAAATGTATCTATCTTAAAAAGAGTGGTAGTTAGCCTTTAACATTAGAGCATAGACCTCAATTAACCTAAATTTAGATTTTTGTTTCAAGGTGTGAATTACCAAACCAAAAAAAAAAAAAAAAAAATTTGCTAAAAACGAAATATTAAGACGTTCAGGAGTAAAAACAGCTTTACACTTCTCCATAACACAGCGCACATAAAGCAAGTGTGGCTTTGAGATTCACCTGTCTGTTAAAGCATTATATCTGCAAATATCCTATTCACACATGTTTCTGAACTGAAACACTGGCATTTACACTATATATACAGCATCTACAAGTTTACAAACATACACACTCGTTTAAAGGCCACTGCGGCTGGCATTTTGATTTAAGTTTTACACCTTGCTTCTTTTTTTTCTTTGTTTGGCGAGACAGGCCGATCGGTTAGGATAGCTTTAGGAGAAACCCTGTGAGGTCTTGAATTGTAGTGCCGGTGTAGAGATCAATTCCTCTTACTCTAGTGGGGGTTAGGACCAAGCATATTAGAAATAATGTCTATGAGGTGGTCCAGGCCGTAGAGGTAGCCGTCTTCTCTGTTTCCCTCCATCCAGGTGGCCCTGTGGCTCAGCTCCTGCCCCTCCGGCAGTGGAGTCGTCTTCCCAAAGTCTATCATCCACACTTTTGCCAGCTCCCGTTTATCATGGACGAAGAGTAGAGAACTGCCAATCACCTGAGCATGAGAGAGGGGTAATGTGTGAAATTTTAGAATATGTCACAGATGTTTTAGGGTGCTTTCACATAGGGCTGGGCGATATTGCAAAAAAAAATATCACAATATCATGTTTCATATTATTTGATATCGCTAATTATTGAATATATATTTTTTAACAATACATTTAGGAATATTAGGATTTTTTTTATTTAGTTACCTTATTTTAATTTACCAACATTACTAAAGCAAATAGATGTAATGGTCAAAAACAAAAATATTTAACAACATATCTGATCTCTTAATAATAAGATAAACATAAGTGTTAAAGTGACCCTTAAGGCCCGTGCACACCGGATCACTTTTTGCTCACATTTTCTGTCGACGTTTAATGACTCGTGACTAAATAAGGGTGCCAATGTGATCGTGCAAAGCAACGAGCAAAACTCCAGGCGTAAAATCATCGTTTTTAAAGAAACGCCTCATGCTCGTTTTTTTTTGTTTTGTTTTTTTACTTATTTTTTTACTTTTTTATTTTAGATTGGCACTTTTGTTCACGTGCACAGAGCTGCTGAAGTTACAGTAAACAGCACTTGGAGGTGCTCGAGTGCAAAACTGTCCATGCGAGCACACATTGAAGAAGATGCCTAGAGGCAATATGAACGTGAAGCTGCTTATTGCACTGGTGAACATTAATCATTTCTTTATCGATAGAGCTGGAGCTGCTACTTAAACCATCCATACGTGTTCAAACCACCAGTAACTTTAACAACAAGCGTGCCAACTTTCTTCTTCTGTGTTACAAGCGGGTGTCAGAATCTTAAATTTGTGTAGCGCCATCTACTGTAACTTCATGGAGTGATTTTGCATACTCTTCTGCTTAATTGCAGTAAAAATTGCTTGGGTTTGAATCAGGGAAAAACGTCTCAAAGCGCTGACGATAAACGCAAATGCAAGCTTTCTGGTGTGTATGAGCCTTTAAACTTGATAGACAAAATTTTACAAAGTGAATGGTAAAGTGTAAACACTGAACAATCAAAGCACACTTTAAGATGTCAATAATGATGATACAGTAAACCTCAAACTCTGTCAACAACACAAATTATGATAATGAAATCTGAGCTGTCAAGTAAAGGAACCAACCATCATTATTCAAATACATACTGCAACATTACAAAGTGTGAAGTTGAATAACTACATTACCCCCTATGCTAAAAAAAAACCTTTCAGATGGGGAGCTAGTGGCTGGGATGCACAAAAAAACAAACCAAAAAGCCGCTCTGGCGACATCTGTATCCTTTTTTTATTTACAATCTCCACACTGCTGCTATATGGCATTCATTTTTGCATGTGTTGTTTTTCTGACCTGATTTAACAAGCATGTGGATTTCTTGACCATTTACAATGGACTTTGCACTCGCACTCCCTTGGCGTCTCTCACAACTAGTTGACCATCCACCATTTTCTCAGAGGATGACATACAGTATGAACGAATCATTGCTGCAGCTCCGATGCAAGTTTATGGAGAAAAGTAAAAAGCCCTGCAGTGTTTGGGTAAGCTGTGTTTGTCTGAAGTAATCAGTCTGTCGTTATTACTGAAATGTGTATATTCCATACAGAGTTTGAAGCAGATTTGTTAGTTCTACTTACATGAATTTATACATGTATGTGTAAAAACATATAATTCTGATTATTTCTACTGTTGGAAGAAATGGAGTTAATTCTTTTTAATTTATAACTTCAAAATGTATGAAATCTACATATTATTTCTAATCAAAATAACATACAAATAACTCTCTAAAATGCTTTAAACAAAATAAATGAATTTTACTTGCATTAGCTTTAATTTCCATCAAAAAAGTTCTATTTTTTCAGTTACAAAAATGTTTTAAGAAATTGGGTTGTTATATACTGTATAGGTTTTTGACACTAATATAATTATTTTTAAAGTACTTTTTTTTACACTTTAAGGAACTAAGGAACTCTAACATTATTTTTAATGTTTCTTAAACTATTTAAAAGAAAAATGTAACCACCCATTCCTAAATAATTGTAAAAATGCTAAAAAGATACATTTTTGAGGGTTTAAAGCAGGGCCGCCCAAACTCAGTCCTGGAGGGCTGGTGTCCTGCAAAGTTTAGTTTCAACCCCAATCAATCACACTTGGGCTAGCTAATCAAGCTCTTACTAGGCTCTCTAGAAACATCCATGCAGGTGTGTTAAGACAAGTTGGAGCTAAAATCTACAGGACACCAGGGGCCTCATGTACGAAGACTTGCGTGGAAATCTTACTAAAACATTGCGTACGCACAAAGCTGTAAATGTGCGTACGCAGAAAAAAATTCAGATGTATGAAACACTGCGTACGCCGAATCTCACGCATATTCTTTTGTACATCTGAATGAACGTGAAACTGAGCGCAACATGCACGAGCACAAAACCCCTCCCTGCCTCCTCCCCCGTATGAATATGCTAATGACTATGCTAATGGCAAAACCCAACGAAAAAGCAATGACAAAAGCAAGCAAAAAGAGAAACTTTGAACAGAATGTGAATTGGAGGTGCTGCTTTCGGAGGTAGATCGGAGAAAAGCGGTGTTATTTGCAAGTTTGTTTTTCGGAATTAACAACAAAAGAAAAAAAAAAATAGAGTGGGAGAGTTTAGCTGATGCGGTTGACACAGTTGGGTCTGAACATCGCACTGAGTGCATTTAAAAAAAAATAGTGTGGTTTATATCTGTAAACTGTTGCAGCACTCTGAACAGTCTCAGTGGTGCGCTCGTAAGACGCATGTGATCATGTTTTGACACGTTCGAGCATGAACTCGGCTCGAATCCAGCGTCTGATGAACTCTTATCTTCTTTTCCCCCCCCGCTACATATCATATTTTGCCTACTATTTATCACGAGAAAGACTAGTAGGAATCATTAATAAGTTTGTGCATCATATTTTATTTGCACATTTATTGAATGGAAATGTTCAAATAGTGTCTTTATAGCAATGTGCGTGCAGTAGATCGCTCAGATTACATTGGGAAAACAGGCGACCGCTGCAAATTGTGCTTTAATGTTTAGCTGGTCAACTGTATGGTATGGAAATCTTACATACCTACTAGATGAACCCGTCTCATACAGCTGCCATTGCAAGGCTCAGACACTTTGTAGAGAAGAATTTAATACAACTGCCTCTAGGAGTCGCCAATGGAAATAAAACAGACACGCACAAAAAATGTGCGTACGCCTGCCAAAAAGCTGCCGTGAACCTGCGCACATTCCCACGTTCAGTTCATTGTTAGTAAATCCAAACGTGAGCGATTCTGAGCGTGAAACCTTGCGTACGCAATGTTTTTGTGCGTACGCAGTGTTGATACATGAGGCCCCTGACCTCCAGGGCCAACTTTGCACACCCCTGGTCTAAAGCATTGATTTTTTTTGTTCTTATGCATTATACACAGACCACAGAAATACATTATGAGAATTAAATCCTTTATCACAAATACACGCGTAAACATGACAAAGTAGACACGAATATCCTGTTTCCATTATTTTTGTGAAGCAAACACGAGTTGACTTATTAAACAGATACTTGCACATAGCAGTGCCCTGTTTTTCCACCATACAGTTTGTTTTTGTTATCCATCAATATGAATAAACAAGGCTGGGTGTTTACATTGCCTGTTCTACCACCTTGTATTAAAACAAAGTTCTGTCACTGGCGATGCATGAAGTGTATTTAGCGTATTTGTTTTTAAAGTCTATTAGAGGTTGCGTGATGATTTGCATACAACCAAGCTGCTATTCTTGTTTCCAGCATGTGGTGTAATCAGATAATTACACAGAGCTGCTTTTTCCATACATGCTTTTGTGTATTAAGGACATTTCACATGCTCATGTTGTCACATGAATGAGGAAAAGGTCATTTTTTTTAGTTGCTTCGTGGTTATAAGTGTAGCCAATGTGTTTTAGGATGATGAACAAAAGAGTGACTGTTTACCTCATGCGTTTTGAAAAATGGTGACATTTCCAAAGTGTCCCTGATCTCTTTCAGCCGGTTCAGATAGGAATGCTATGGGAAAAGAGACAAAGTGTAAAACAAAACAACAATAATTATAATAAACCAATAAAAGCAACAATACTTTTAACAAGTACATGGTTCATATTTATATAAAATGGTCTTAATTACTGTGTACTTAAATTTATATTAATCATTTGGTACAGTGAACTTGTGTACAAATGTGTTTTTCCATTGTCCTTATATTTAAAAAAAAATCTCTGCATGTAATTACATTTATTATTAACCCACCCTTAGGCCAAACTATACCACCAAACCAGATAGTTTGTCTCTTGTATTTCTCACATTCCACACAAGCAATGTGTATAGCAATACCAGTAAATTTCCATTTTTTGCAGACATTTTTTATCAATCTCAATCAGGAAAATGGTGCATAAATCACATAGACGTATTTTGAATCCATTTACTCTTTAAAGTAAAAAAATAATTATGTCTATAGCTTTATGAGAGTGTGTATGTGTGTACCAAGGTTATTATAGTTAATGAAAACAAACAAAAAAACAAAAACTATGATTGAAAAAACATTTCCGTTAACTGAAATAAAAATAAGACTTTGTTTTTTAAAACTAGAACTAACTGAAACGGTTTTGTCTATAAACAAAACTGACTGAAATAACTAAAATTACAGCAAAAAAACGTCCTTAGTTTTCGTCTTTGTTACGGCACCTGAGTCTGTAATCCTAATGCCATTGGCCAGATTGAGCCAGTCCCCCCTTAGGCATTCTTACTGTTGCTGTGACAACAGTGTTGCCAACTTAGCTTAAATGAGAGGATCTGGCGAAACGTAAGTTTATTTCATAGCAGAAAATTGTAATGGAATTTCGATGGAATGGAAGTGAATCATGCTTCAGTTGGGTTGCAAACTGTAACTGTAAGAAACTTTTTAAATTACGGTGATGTTTTAACTGACTGTCCTAACATGGGAGGCCTAAAAAGAAGCCTTGCACACATATTTTACTTAAGGCTGCTATCTTTCATGCTGTTGTATTTGAATTTGAGGATGGGTAGATGATAATTGTGGATGGCAATGCTCTTGTGTCAAAAAATGTAGCCTATCTTTGGTTAAGTTTTTTTGTACAATATTTATTCTGATGATTTTGAATCTTACACCTAAAAAAAATCCTAATTTACAAAAAAAAAACAACAAACTAAAACTAACACTGAAAAAACTAATAATAAACTAAAACCAGGCAATTTCAATATATAAAAACTAATAAAACAAGTAAATATACCTCTAAAAACTAATTAAAACTATCTTGATTTGAAAACAAAACAAAAAAATAACTAAAACTAGTGAAAAAACCTTGGTGTGTACACATTAAAATCAAACCACAGTTCCATGCTCTATTCTAATGTATGCCAAAGAAGTTATTTCAGCAATATATGAGCAGTTAACTATGCATTGTGTGTGTAAATAAAAGCACATTCATCTTTAATATCTAAAGCACGTTTATCAGATGAATCACAGAGCATGAATCAGGATGCACATTAGCTTTCATGACACACTGTAGACAAACATAGGGTTAAATAAAGGCTCCACCAAAAGCCAAGGACAGTTTCTCTGGAAATGTTTGTCTATAAGGCCGAGCTTTGTAAGGAAACACCCCAGTTACGTGGGAATCCTGCAATTAAATGTCTTTGTCAAGGTGCCAACACCTTGTTAATATTTAAACCTGCTTAGATTGCATTTACAGTACTTAAATGCCACAAAAACACACATGGCAGTCATGTGTTATTATGGAAATATTTGCACATTTGCATGTGTGTATTTATCTGTAATTTAATCAAGTTTGTGTGCAACATGAACAGCAGGCCAACGTTTGTTGGGCTCAAACAATCTACAACCTTAAGGCTAAATGAGAGTTTAGCTCCACCTGTCCGCTTTCAGAGACTTTCAGACAGGCAGAAGGCCCTGAAGCACTAAAACACGTGAACACACACACACACACACACACACACACACACACACTCTTACCAGGATGTTCTTGTTTCCTTTGACGAAGTCTTGGAAGGCTTCGGTCACTTGTTCTCGGGTCTTGGTCTTTTTAAAGTCCCTGTTTACCGTTCCGTCCTCTTTCTGTAAAAGGGAAAGATAAACTCAGTGTACATATCAAAAAATACAAACAAGTTTAAAAAACAGTTCTACATCATAGTACATGTTAATATATGCTTTATACCGCATTAGACAAACCTGTTAGCACAAAATCATGTTTATGATTTATCATGTTTAAGTATGTTGCTGGCATTAAAATGTTTTAGCATGTTAGTATTATTTGAACATGTTTCTAGCATGCTGCTAGCATTTAACATGTTTTGGATGTTAGTATCATCTGAACATGCTTCTAGCACAGGGGTGGGCAAACTCGGTCCGGTTCAGGGCCGGTGTCCTGCACAGTTTAGCTCCAACTCTAATCAAACACACCTGCGTATAGATTTCTAGTGATCCTGAAAACACTGATTAGCATGTTCAGGTGTGTTTAATAAGTGTTGGAGCTAAACTGTGCAGGACAACGGCCCTCCAGGACTGAGTTTGCCCATCCCTGTTCTAGCATGTTGTTAGCATTAACATGTTTTGACATGTTAGTATCATTTGAACATCTTGCTAACATTAACATGTTTAGGGATGTCGCTATCATTTGAACATGTTTCTAGCATTGAACATATTTTGGAATTTTGGTATTATTTGAACATGTTTCTAGCATGTTGCTTACATTTAACATGTATTGAATGTTCGTATCATCTGAACATGTTTCTGGCATGTTACTAGCATTAACATGTTTTAAAATGATGGTATCATTCGAACATGTTTCTAGCATGTTGCTAGCATTTAACATGTTTTGGAATGTTGGTATCATTTGAACATGTTTCTAGCATTAACATGTTTTGACATGTTAGTATCATTTGAACATGTTGCTAGCATTAACATGTATTGGAATGTTGGTATTGTTTGAACATGTTTCTAGCATGTTGCTAGCATTTAACATGTTTTGGATGTTAGTATCATCTGAACATGTTTCTAGCATTGTTGCTAACATTAACATGTTTTGGCATGTTAGTATCATTCGAACATGTTGCTAGCATTAACATGTTTTGGGATGTTGGTATCATTTGAACATGTTTCTAGCATTTAACATGTTTTGGAATGATGGTATCATTTGAACATGTTTCTAGCATGTTGCTAGCATTTAACATGTTTTGGAATAATGGTATCATTTGAACATGTTTCTAGCATGTTGCTAGCATTTAACATGTTTTGAAATCCATGTTATCCATGTTTTGAAACTTTGGTATCATTTGAACATGTTGCTAGCATTTGACATGTTTTGGAATGATGGTATCAATTGAACATGTTTCTAGCATGTTGCTTGCATTAACATGTTTTAGATGTTAGTATCATCTGAACATGTTTCTAGCATGTTGCTAGAATTAACATGTTTTGACATGTTAGTATCATTTGAACATGTTGCTAGCATTAACATGTTTTGGGATGTTGGTATCATTTGAACATGTTTCTAGCATGTGGCTTGCATTAACATGTTTTGAATGTTAGTATTGTTTGAACATGTTTCTAGCATAAGAATGTTTTGGCATATTAGTATCATGAACATGTTTCTAGCACGTTGTTAGCTTTAAAATGTTTTGGCATATTAGTATCATCTGAACATGTTTCTAGCATGTTGCTTGCATTAACATGTTTTGGCATGTTAGTATAATTTGAACATGTGTCTAGCATACAATTAATTCATTCAGTTGATCATGTAAGAGGGAATATTCACATAATGATTCAAATGATTCACTCAGAGCGAGTCTTCATTTAACAATTCAGGGATTCAACTGAACATGTAAGTGCGAATATTCATTAAATGATTCACTGATTTAGATGATTTAGTCAGAGCGAACCTCCACTTAACAATTCACTGATTCAAGTGATCATGTCAGAGGGAATAGTCACTTAATGATTCAAATGATTCAGTGAGAGCGAGTCTTCACTTATTAATTTACTGATTCAATTGATCATGTCAGACCAAATAATCGCTTAATGATTTAATTGATTCAGTCAAAGCGAGTCTCCACTTAACAATTCACTGATTCAAATAACCCTGTCAGAATTCACTTCACTTAATGATTCACTGATTCAAATGATTTGATCAGAACAAATCTCGTTGTGCATTACTTTCTGAACAGGGTAGGTTTTATACAAAAAGTAAACATACAATTTAAACAACACAAATTAATGATGAAAACTCTTACCTGCTGCAATAGCAAATTCTAAAGTTTTTGCTAAAATATGAACACTTTTTGCCATGTGACATATAGCCCTATTAAAGATTTGTGGAACAGTATAACAGTACTGCATGTCTTAGTCAACATCTTCAAGTAAACATGATATTTTTAGAGTATGATTTGTGCTACTTAGTTAAGAAGAGTCATAACTGGTATAAACAAACAACAGGAAGCTTAGCCACAGACATAACAAGAGACATTATTTAGGGCATCCCCATTGACAAATAGAGTAAACGAGGGGGAGAATCTGCTCTTTGTGCAAATGGAAAGTGAAAAGGGCAACTTCTCATTACTATTATACATGCAGGACATCTACAGAGCTCTCATTAACAAAGATTTAGCAAAGGAAAATCCTGATAAAGACCAAACATAAGCCTTCTGATCTCCTCTTCCTTGTCTTAATGGAATCGTGGCTGCCTGGTTTGACTTAATTAGCTGTGGTTTTCGAGTTTGTATTAAGCCTTTTTGACATTTTCCATGAGTGTTATAGGGTGGTGTGCGGTAGGCCTGAATTACAGAACTGAAATCATGTTGTGAGAGCTGCGGCCTGTCAGTGACTGATGTCAAGCTCAAAAGACGTGCCACAAACAGGCTGTGTGTGTGTGACAGAACCATTCAGTCACAACCAAGCTCTTGAAAAAGGCCAATCCTGCCCCTTCACCTCGGTCTGAAATCCAGGATCTAATTAAAAAAATGTGGGTTTCAGTGTCGCCGCGATTCCACAGAAAACAGCGCCTTTATTGACTTATCATTCCAGTGAAGCTCACTTGACGGCATTGTTGTCACATAACCTTCATTTAGATAGCTTCAAATATAAATGATTAAGAGATTTAGATTATGGTGTGGTATTTAAGGTTATGGTGTGAATGGAGCCAGATTTTAATGTGAAGTGCTTTTATAAAATGACTTTCATTCAAATGTCTGATGTTGAAAGGCCCGGAACACCCAGTGACCCCAGCATACATCACTGACGATGCGTCCCAATGCATCTAAATAGTGTATCTTGGACACTATTATTATTATTAAAGGGGCCATAGATATAGATGAAAATCTGGATCTACCTAGACATAGCTGAATAATAAGTGTTCAATCAGTGTATAGTAATGAATGTAACACCAAACACCCTAGTTTCCTCATTCCCATGCAAGTTTTCTGAGTGTAAATATGTGGTGAAAAACAGGCCAACTGAAACAACAGGCATAATTTTATGCTGCACACTGGATTATTAATATGCACACCCCAGGCAGTGTTTGATTGGCCTCAATATTTCCCAGTGAGATTACAACAATTGAATTATTTTGTCATTATTCATTCATTCATTCATTTCCTTTTTGGCTTAGTCCCTTCATTAATCAGGGGTCACCACAGTGGAATGAACCACCAACTTTTTCAGCATATGTTTTAAGCAGCGGATGCCCTTCCGACTGCGACCCATCACTGGGAAACACCCATACAATTTCATTCACATACATACAGTTTAGCTTATCCAATTCACTTATACTGCATGTCTTTGGACTGTGTGGGAAACCGGAGCACCCGGAGGAAACCCATGCGAACACGGGGAGAACATGCAAACTCCACACAGAAATGCCAAATGGCTCAGCCGAGGCTCGAACCAGCAATCTTCTTGCTGTGAGGCGACATTGCTACCCTTTGCGCCACTGAGAGGCAGGAAGAGTAAATTAACTTTCTGTAAAGCAATCAGGTATGTGCCATCAGCATGCCAGAATGCTAAATGCAGGATTTAGAGATTATACATTTATTCAGTGCCACCCCAGAGGCATTAGTTCTGTTTATATTAACCTTTTGTTAGTTTAATGTGTATGTTGTGAAATTCTCCACATTAAAAAATCAGACACATGTAAACTGCTTAATATGTGCTTTAATGCATATTTATGCATCATGTCATATCACTCAGCTCTTTTTTTTCTGAAATAACTCTAAAAAACTCATCTGTTTATGCTGAGTATGATATTATTATAATTATTTTGAAGGGGGGTATTCAATTGTTATTTAATATTTAGCCACAAGTGCTGTCGATTAAGCTTAATTTGTTTTAGGAATTCATATCTTTAAAAAAAACATTCAGCTGAATGTGACATTCACAATGTTTACATGGACATTAGTAATCGAATTCTTTGCCTTAATCTGAGTAAGACAATAATATAATAAAGGCATTTACATGAGTTGCTTTTTGAATGATCCATGATCCAGTTTTACACGTTATAACGCATAGTTTGATTAACATCTTTGTTTTACCACTCTATCCACATTTCCTAAAGAGTTTAATATAATTTGGGTGTTTCATAATTTTTTTTTCGACTTTGAAACTGCCGGACTGCAGCTACTTTTATTCAGGAACACTTTATTCATGCCCCGCATGACGAACTGAGGTGTTGGATGTGCATATGAAGTAAGGACTGCTGGAAGAATGTTGTTTTAATGGAATTTGACACCGCATTTCGCGATGAGTGTGCCTGTGGTTTTCGGTAGGTGCAGCTTTATAATGTTGGGTCAAACAGTCATGTGTGTATAGACTATTCTGTCGCAAAATGCAGCAACAAGTCCTACATGACGGTAATAGTTTGATTAGTTTCTGTGTTTCTGTGTCTGTGCTGCACTTTTAATAATACTATTAAAACCAGCATACTCCACATGTCTTAATTCGATTTTCCTTAGTGACCTTAATCTGAATAAATTAATCAAAAATCGCTGTTTACATGGTAGACTCAGGCCCCGTTTACACTAGTGCGTTTTAGTTTTAAAACGGCGTTGTAGAATGAAAACGATCCGCATCCACACTCGCGTTTTACCCAGTGTTTCTGAACAGCTCTCCGTCCACACCAAAACGCTGAAAACGCACATCACGTGACCACACACACACACTCGGGCAAGCGCTCCAGCATTTCTACCCAGATGAGAGCTCTGCTTGTCGGAATGCTCATCAAGCATCTCCCGCTGGATCTAATCTCACTATATTTGCTAAACGTGATATTTCATTCATGTTGTTGTCTTTATCTAACGACATAGGCCAATTCCCTGACTTTGGTCATTAGAATCTATTAAGTTACTTGTTCACGGGTAACATGTTTTGGTTAAGCGCAAAGATAAGTTAATGATTAATCCAGGTACATTGACCGATCGCTTGCCTTTATTTCCTGCAATGTATAAACTTATTGTATGTTATACTTTTATAATTATCGATTATTAAAACTGATATTCAGCAAAAGAGAGGGTGCGTTTCGTATTTTTACTGAAATTGAAAGGAGGCAGTTGTTATCGGCTCCGTTTTGTTATAAATATCCACACAGTGAAGATGACGCTCATAAATGCAGCACGGCGCCTCAACATTTCTGCTGTCTGTTAAGTTGCTAATATTAAAAAGAAAATAGGCAGTTCCTTAAATCATGTTTACATTTTATTGTTGAGAAAGTGAAACAACGTAGCCAAGGTGATGTGAATGAAGTTATAAAGTACACTGTTCCCTTTGAAGATTTACCCGTGTCCTCGGTATGTTTTCCATATCAAACTGAGAAGGGGGAGACTGCAGCCTTGATCAAACTTGCGAAGTCTTAACTTACAAGAAGAGGATGCGAGACTGAACTGTGTGTGGGCTACTTAATATTGAGGAAAAGCCCCAATCAGAGAGGCGAACGTTTGCAGCCCCGCCTCCGTTTTCAGATGTCTCCGTCTTTCCCCATCCACACTGAGACGGAGCAGCAGCGTTTTAGAATGAAAACGGCCTCTCCAGCGTTTTCAAAAAGCTCCGTTTTCGGCGCCCGAGAACTCCGGCGTAGTGTGGACGGATGGCGTAACCGTAGCAAAACTTATGCGTTTTCAAACTAAAACGCACTAGTGTAAACGGGGCCTCAATCAGAGTATTGTCTTAATTGTATTAAAATCGGATTACTGGTGTCCATGTAAACATACTCACTGATACGTTTAGTATTTTTTGCAAATTTACCTCATGTCTTTACTCAGGTTTCTAGAGGAAGTATCAAAACACCAAAATTCCGTCAAAGGTTTTTACCTTGATGCCCTCGATGCGGAAGCCGAGCGTGGCGGTGGAGCTGATGGTTTCTCTCCACTGCATGTACCTCGGCTTAGTGACCGCTTTCTGCTCATTCTCCTTTTCTGTGGGAGCGTCCGGATCCACCTCGATCATCTTTTGGTACATGTCAGCTCTCAAACTAGGCTTCTTCCTTGCTTTCGTCAGCTCCTCTTCCAGATATGTCCTGCAAAAGAAGAGAAAATAACATTACTCATTGGCTCAGATTTCCTGAATTTAATGCATGCGTTGAATCATCAAATGTTGAAATTCCTAATACGAGATCTTACAGCATCTTATTAGATAGAAGGCTTGGAAACTATATTAATTGTATATTTATTTTCAGTTTACTCCCTGGTTTAAAGCATACATTTTGCACACATTTAAGAATGTTTTTTCATTATTTTGATGTTTTATTTTCATGGCAAAGATGGAAAAAAGAATAGAAATTTCCATAGAAATGTTATTTAGTAAAAATAACGTCTAGTGTGATAACTTTTGTAATATTTAAACTGTTTAAATAATAACTTTACGGTTGTTTTAGGCTTCATGATGTTTTGTTATAGCCAGTGTTGGGTAAGTTACTTTAAAAAAAGTAATAGATTACAATTTACTGATTACTACTGGAAAATTTTATTTGATTACATTACTAATCACTTCATGTAAAAAGTAATCAGATTACTAAATTATTTACTTTGAAATTACTTTTAAAGCATAAAAAATAAAAAAAGAAACTGCAGCTCTTTCAGTAATTTTATATTTGCTGAAAAACATTACAATGGCTTGATCACTGCAGCTTGACATATTCAAAATACTTAAAGAAAAAAACCTTACATTTTTACATCATTCACTTGAACCAAACCTGTTAATCTTTTTTAAGAAAACTGGATACCTGTAACCATTGACAACCATAGCATGAAGAAGCATAGCATGAAGTAATTAGTCTACCAAAATGTGCATATTCCATACAAAGAATGAAGCAGATCGGTCAGTGCTTGTCAAGTGACTTGGGGTTTTCAACTGCGTGAGCCTGGAAAATGTGAGCGCACACAATATGCGCGCCTCCATTGGAAATAACTTGCGCACACAAAAAGACATGATATGTAATTGGCCCTATAAGCAGCTATGCATTTCTTCACATTCATTCATTTTAGCCTGTTTAGGTTGAGTTGGGTTGACGTGTTTTTGGGCACCGGTGTTCTCCTGGCCAACGAGTATTGTCGTAGAATGCTTTCTGTTCAAGTGCTTGAACAAAAGCAGTCGAAAGTTCTTTAGAGACTCGACACAGACTGCATTTTATAGCAATATTTAAGTGCTATAAGTGTGTTTTGTATTTCCACTTAAAGAAGCAACCACTCTCGACAGCAACCATTTCAGCCCACGTTCTCCAGCAATTTAAAAGCGCATGGTTTTAAATGTCGTTGCAGTGGAAAACGTGATTTAAAAGAAGTATTTATTTTCTTCTAAAAACTATTTGTAACGTAAGTAACACAATTATATTGACTTTAGTAGCTGTAATGAAATTACACACATTTAAAGTGTAATTCGTTAGAAACTGCGTTCCTCACAAATGTTATTAGAATACAGTAATGTGTTACTATGGAACGCCTTACACCCAAGTCTGGTTACATCAATACATTACAAAGATTAGCAAGCAATCATTATATTGTTAAAATTATTAATACGGGATATGTGAAAAACGAGTAAACTCATTGCTTTAATATCATGTTGCCTTTACTTTAAAAAAGTGAGTAAACCCATTGTAACTTGGCTTTATTTTAAGAATTACTCTTTCACTTAATTTTGAGGCAGTGAGTTTACTCACTTTTTTTAAGTAAAGTCAACTAATCCCTTACAGTGTGTTAGCTGTAGTCATGGCAACTAAATATTTATCGTCCATTTATTCATCAACTTCACTTCACTTGGAAACAGAGGAAGAAACGGAGAAGAAGTGTGTGCGAATCTGAAAGCGTTGCATTGTTTTGTTTGGACAGGCCAAGCAGAGGTTCTGTTAATATCCTGACCATCTGGTTATCTCTATATTTGTCCATGGCTGCTGCCGTGATTCGGTCAGGCTTGCAACAGCAAACAGAGCGTCCCAGGAACAACAGAGATGAGAAAGCCGAGCCATGAGCGTAGGGGAAAACTGTGCTGAGGGATGGTGGATGTGTATTAATGTCTTCTTTGCTACAAGTTTCCTTTAGCATAATAGATAACAGAGCTGTTCTTCTGCTCGGTCTCTGAGGAGTGAAGCACTTGTTCATCTTCCCTGCTGCTTAGAATCTATAACATCTGTGCAAATAATAGGTCAATGGAACTATTCATTTTAAAATAACATGCAGGATGTTTCAAGTCAGTGGACATGATGTTGCTCAAGTGTGAGATAAGAAACGATGAAGAAGATTTCATTTTTGCAAGGAGGGGAATTAGTGAGTTATAGATTCAGCTCTCTGTGTATTTTATTTATTATTTATATATAAACAACAATTATATTATTAATTCATATTTTGATTAGTTTTTTTAAGTTTAGTTTTCATGTTAGTTTCCCCTTTATACTAAAATCACTTTTATTAGGGGTTTAAACATAGTTGTGTGGCAACAGTGTGTGAATATAGCCAGTCTCTAATGGTAAACAAATCAATTATTTTATAATCACACTTAATAAAAACAGTCTGCAGAAACCATTTAATTGACATTCTTCCTCTGTACGTCATCAAAGAGGAAAAGCCCCGCCCATTTGTGATGCTCTCTCCCTCATTAGCATAGTGTTACAGTCACCAGCTATCTAGCTAATGCGGATGACTGAAGAACTACGCACATGCCACAGTTATGAATAACATATCCTGTCATGCACCTCACTCGCACCTGTTCCGTTTTTACATTGATTACACACACACATGGTGAACTGATTATATAGACTTTAAACACAGCACAGACACACACTTCAGTGCTGAGTCTTGTTTTACTGTACTTTAACATTATGACATGTTTTTCCTTGCCTTGGCTAGCCGTGTTTTAACCCTTGCTTTGTGTCTTTGTTGACGTAGTTTGCCGCCTGTACCTACTGCTCACCTGTTTATTGACCTTTACCTGGATTATCTGTATGTACCCGTTTGCCGTGTTGCCTGCCTGATCTATTTGTCTAATAAACTGCATGTGAATACTTAACTTGGTCGTCCAGTGCCATTTATCTGCCATTATACTGACACATTGGCATTTGTAGTTCCACCCTTTTTAAAAGAGGCCCGGGAGCATAATCTAATTTGAATTTAAAGCGACAGTCAATAAAATGGCACAAATTGGATAAAAGCCTAAAAGGGTGCAGTTTCAGATTTATAAAACATTATTTGTGGGGTACCACAAATGCATACCCTAATGAAGGCAGCTCTCTGCCGAAACGCGTAGGTTTTTTAAAGATTAGCCATGTGAATAAAGGCTTTTTAATATTCTTTCTACATTTTTCGGGTGCCTTGGACTGATTTTTGTTGTCTATTCTGATGAATCCCTCGCCCAAAGAGCACCGACACATTATTTAAGCTACCCTTGTGAACCTTTTGTTTGATTTCGGATTATTTGTGCGGATTTTAGAGTTGAAACTTCACATATACGCTCTAGGATCATCTTATTATTATTAACATCTTGTAAAAATGTGCAAAATAGGTGCCCTTTAAAATTAGCTTAGCCAATGTGTTTCTTTGACTTTAAAAAAAATCTATTTTGTTTTAATTATTGTGCTTTCAGTTTTCGTAATTTTATCACTCAAAGCTCCAGTGTAATGCAAGTTAAGTTAAAGTTTTTCTTTTCCCTCAAACTTTAAGGTTTTAAGGATATACAGTCATAGAGTGGTTGCAAAAATGATAAGGAATATTGCTCAGCATATTCGGAAGTATTTTAGGTTCTGAGTGTGGGTGTAAGGTGATGGAGGGGTTTGTAGTATTGCTGTATGGTTGCTATGGTTTTCTGGATAATTTCTATTCTGCTTAGGTGGTTACTAAAAAAGTGATTTTAACAAATTAGCACACACACACATACAGATGAAGTCAGAATTATTAGGTAAATAGCATTTACCATCAAGTCACCTGGTGGATATTGCAATATTAATATAGCAATATCCAGTATATATATATTGAAGAAAAACTAAATGTCGCAGCCCTAGTTGATAGGTTAGTCTCATTCTCACAATCGCAGCAAACATACCTAATGCCCATCTTGCAGTCCATGACACAGGGAAGGTCAAAATCTGCCAGCAAGTCCTCCATTTGATTGTACCTCTCTCCATCCTTCTCAACATCTCCATGATAAGCAGGAACGTAGGGCTTTAATATGTCTCTCATCAGCCTGTCCAGACACTGCTGCTCACACTCGCAGTGTTTCTTCAGGATGCGGCCATTCGCCCCTGCCTTGAAATTGCCTGAAGAGCATGGCATTTTCAGCATATAAAGTATTATCATAAACTGTCTATATGTATGTTATTTTTCAATATCTAGCTTCAAAGCAGTTCACATTGCTCTGTGCTTTGAATGCATTACTGATAAAAAGTTATGCAACATCTACATCTTCTTTCTCTGTCCACCCTATACACAACTCCTTAACTTTTCTGATTTTGACTGTAATGTAACAGCATGCACCTTTTGTAGGGCTGCATTGGAATGATGATTATTGTGAAAAGTGCAATACAAGTAAAATTGAATTGAATCTATTGTGGCTGTACCTGCGTGGCCAGCCAGCTGGATCCAAGGATACTTCTTCTTGAAGGACATCACAAATGGGGACCAGTGCACCATGTTCTTGATCTTCTTCCATGATTTATGCTGTTTGGAGACAAAAAAGCAAGCAAGATGACTTTAAATTATTAATGCTTTAGATGCAAGCGATGTAAAGATTAGGTCCAATCGATCGGCCAGAGATCACATGAACCGCAAGTGTTCGTTTACGGGTTTCCAAGCAGAGGAAGATCCATTTTAACTTCTTGTGCATCAAACATCCGCTCCAATTGTTTTCTTTGTTGACACATGTTGCATTCTTCTTCCGTCATTTGCAATGTTTCCAAATTGCATTATTATTAGTCATTTTTCTTACCAAATGTTCATCTGTTTAATCTATTATTATCTGTAAAGCTGCTTCTGACTACATGTCCACAGTAAATGATTATTAGAGACGTGTTTAAAGGATTATATGCAACATCCTTCATTTATTCTCTTAGGTAAGGCAAGATCTCTACTTAAATATCAAACTGGGAAAATGTGCTTTGCAATGTTAAAGTTATGTAAAGCTTGATGCATCAGAATCGGTACTTCAAAAATCCTGATCGGAGCATCCCTAGTAAAGATTGTTTTCAAAGAGCAAGAATGCTGTTAAAGCTTTTTATTATTATTATGCATGTAATTTAATGTATAATAATAATAATAGTAATAATAATAATAATAATAATGCAATAATAATTTGTAAACTAAATAACCTGTCTAAAATAAAAGTTAGACTTTGGTGTGTTAAACTTTTAGAGTCTTAGACTTGAGTTAGACTTTCCAAAGGGATAAATAGTTCTTACCAGCTTCTAGCCACAGCCGCATGTGATCTATACTGTAGCTAATTAACCATGTTGATGGATTATTACAGCCTTTTGAGCCTAGTGGGCGCAGAAGGCCCCTACTGGCCCATATTTATCAGCTGATAACCACTGATAACGCCCATTCAATCAAGCGATAACATTTGAATCAGCTGACATGACAGCATTTGTATTTCAAATTTGGAAGAAATCTCATCAGTAGCAGAATTTTTTCTCTGTATATACACCATTACATTACATTTTTCTGGATTGACTTTTGTGTGTTTAAGCATATGGATATATATATGCTATGCTCAAGCATATATATTATATATTATATATATATATATATATATATATATATATATATATATATATATATATATATATATATATGTATAAGTGCCTGGAGGAAGATAAGTAATTACTTATATAATGGTATTTGGCAGTTGGGGCTAATTTCCCTACAACAAAACCAAACCAGCACACAATATGCGGGGTAGAATAAACAAACAAGACTTTTGCATGTATTTCCATACGTTTGCTGGCACTCCTACAGCAGTCAGCGCTGATATCATTGTTTACACAGCACAGTAAAGAGCTCTATGTCAGAGATTTATATTCACACCAACATATTGTACATTCAGATTCACTAAAACCCCTGCAAATGAGTAGGGAATCTTGCAGAATTTTCACCAGGAGGCACCTCAGAATCTTCTTTCTCTATTTGGTCATACAGCAGAAAGCAGGCTGTTTTCCAGTGCAGGAGGTGCTGCTCTGTTGAGCCATTACACTGTTATTCCACTTCACTAAATGTCCTTGACTGAGATCTGGCATGGTAAACACATTCTTCACTGGCTCACAGTGATGGACGAGGGGTTTCCTCGGGTGACCAGGGAAGCCTCTCTCTTTCTCCCCCAGCAGAGGCAGGTTTTGAGCCAGCTCTCCCAGGAAGAGTCACGCTATAAGCACAAATCTAGAAAACCCGTCTGGCCAACAAACACAAGCCACAAAGTGCATTTTTCATGCTTTTTGACTAAACAATAGTAAAAAAATATATAAACTAGGTTTGTCGTGATTTAATTAATTAATCTTATGACACTATTCCAGCTAAAGTATTATGATACTAAGTAGTATTACGATACTGTAACTTATAACTCAAATTATAAAGAAAATAGTCAGAAATACTCTATGTTATGGTATATTAGGCCTAATATGTAATTCATAATTCCCGTAGGGCCAAAAAGTATTATTTGCCTGTCACTTCAGTTAAAATTTATTTATTCTTTTTGTTTATTTTGTAGATAACTGACCAACAAAAATACATTAAAATAAAGATACAAATTATATCGAATGAAATTTGTTACAAAAAGAGCATTTTTTCTAACAAAATTAGGCTATTTGAAGTGGTCAAAAAAATTTTCAATGTTTCCTGTTGCTATTTTGGGTTTTTCATCTATTTTTTTTTTTCAGTCTTATCAGGTAACAATCCAAAATTATTCAAAATCTCACTTTGTGAGTGGTTCTTTTAAAGAGATTGTCATGGTTGTTGTTGCTACTAAATCATTACAGGAACAGAAATGAATCAATTCAGATGTGTGTTTGAACTGAAGCATTAGAAAATGTGCAATAGGCTACCATAAGGTGCAAATTCTACAACGTTTTGAAACCTTAAAGGGTTTCACAGGCTAATAAAATAAAATGCTCTATTGTCGCACAAACCTGTGAGCATTTTAGTGACTTTTTCACATGCAACATCTATTGTAGGTAAATCATAAATGACGATACTACCTATTACAAACCACAGTATTTTGGAGCCATAGTATCATGATACTGCCATAGTATTGGTAAACTGTGCAACCATAATATAAACTAATTGAAGGTTAGTTAACGTTATGTGCTTTCCAACCATTAAATGAAGGCTAGGATTGTCAAGCTCCGAAATGACAAGTTTTCTGAGGCCATGTGATAATTTAGTTTCTAAATTTTTTAAAGCCTTCATACACCTATAAACACTTTTCTTATAGTAAACTTTGTAAATTATTATTATTATTATCATTGGTATTAAACAAGACCATACATAGTAATATAAAATACAGAATAAGTAAAATTACAGACTGTCAGTTTACTTATTTTCCCATCATACCCTCAAAAAAATATAATAAAATTAATTAAAAATAAACATATCCTCTGAAAAAGAAAAAAAATCAGCAATTTTACAAATCAACGAGTAAATAAGAGTAAAAAAAGACAAAGATGAAAAGATCCCTTTAAGGCAGGGGTGTCCAAACTTGGTCCTTTTTTAAATTATTATTTTCCATTATTACATAGGAGTTGAGACAGAAAAGTGTAGGGACCAGAGAGAAGAACAGGATCAGCTATAAACTTTGAGCCGAGAATCGAACTTGGGTCACCATGAGCACCTCAAGGCTATTAGCATCGACTCTAGTAAACTTTTAACTTGCTTAATTTAATAAATTACATAGAAATTATATAAAACACATTTTTGTACTGATGGTTTACAAGAACTCTCCTTGCGTATAACGTACTTATACTGTAAAAACTTATTATTATATAGCCCATACGCACCCCTACTCCTAAATCCAACCCTCACAGGAAACCCATGACAAATTTTAACCCATAAAGACCCCATAAAGTATGATTATTAACTGTTTTGAATTATGAGGACATATGGCATGTTCTCTTAAATCACCTTAATAGAGTACAACTATGCTATCTGTATCTGTTTCACTATAAAAATTCTGTCCTTGTAAACCACCAAAACCACAACATACACACATAATCCATTCATTCATTTTCCTCCGACTTAGTTCCTTTATTCATTAAGGGTCGCCACAGTGGAATGAACCACAAACCTATCCAGCATATGTTTTTACACAGTGAATGCCCTTGCAGTTGCAACCAGTACTGGGATACACACATAATCACTCATTATGCGGCTGATATCCATGTATTATTTATGTTTTATATTATTTCATGTTATTATTTACGAAATATCAAAATAATTATGTAATAAATACACGTGTCCTGCTTTTCATGACTATGACCATGATCAGTGAATCAATCCTGTTTACTCAAACAGTTTGACTTGTGAACAGTTCATTCAATCCATGTTGCTGAAGTATGGCAATCAAACGATTCATTGAAAATATTTGCCTAAATGAACGTTAAACAGAATGTGTTTACAGACTGGATTTCAATTCTTCTCTCATGCAAAGAAGAACTATAGGGAACGTCAAGATTTTTACTGAACATATTTAGTCTATTTCATATGCAAAGCTCTTATTTGAACAACATGGATCACATTTATGACAACTTTGTAGCCTTTCTGTTATTTTGGAGCTTGACACGCCAGTCCATATTCACATATAACAAAAGTAAAGTATTTTATGTTGAATCAAACATGTTTTTGAAGTCTCATTTTTGGCTGAACTATTTCTGTAAGCTAGACATTACTCCCTGTGGAGGTCTGATTTAATTTAGTCTAGAAAGAGGTCCATAAAAGGTATGAATCATCATCTGCGAGCAGCATGAGTTTTATCTGTCACATGAAGGTTGTCCTGTTCTGCTCCAGTGGACAAAAACCTTTCCTCTCTCCCTTAAGATGCTGTTAAAGAGCGGTGGAGTGTCTGTAAACGCTGATGTGTTATGCCCCCTTTTTTGTCCCTCGTCCTCCCTCTACTGGGATTGTCTCTAGAGTGCATTGTGGAAACTAAATGATCCACAGGTCACAGCCATTGCTTGAGAAAGTCAAGGGCTGCTAATGTTAATAATACTTTAGCTGTGAGAGTGTGTAGCTTCAGTATGAAACCTTATATAAACGGCCAAACAGTCATAACAAGAATTTGCATGTTTAATTGTATACGCTTTTAATCTATACATATGCCGCTAAACAGACTAACATTAAATGGTTGGTTCGCCCAAAAATTAAAGTTCTGTTATTGATTACTCATTTCTAATCCCTTTAGACTTCCATTCATCTTTGGAAAGCAAACGACCATATTTTAGATCAGTGGTTCTCAAACTTTTTTCATCAAGTGCCACCTCAGAAAAAAAATAGTCTCTCCAAGTACCACCAAAATTAGCAGTATTAAAATACAGTAGCGTAGTTGGCCCAGTACAGCAGCTACAACTCTGCACAGTTAAAAAACGTGGCAGATTACCTCAGAAATATAGGCTATATGGAATATTATATACGTCATTTTAGATAGATTTAAAAATGTGTGTTTCATGTTCATGACATAT